ATCTAGAGTCCCATCGGACTCAATTATCATCAATCTACTACCCTTCTTTTTCCACTCCTGTGGACTGTTCTTCTTCCTCCCGTCTACTGGAGTAGGTTGAGCACTTCCTAGAGTAGCCTCCAAATCTAAGGCCTTTTTAGAGAAGTCTCAAAGGAATGATACTCGAGGCGAGCCTCGCTGGCCAGTAAGGTCCTGAGATTCTCGGGCAGACATCTCAGAAACATGGTCAATAAGACCTGGTCATCATAGCGTATATCAGGTACGACGATGAGGTTCTCTACAATAGACGTTAGCTCTCTGACAGACTTCTACCTATGCTGGTCCAGTCTCAATATCACGTCAGTGACAATTTGTGCCTGCTGTGGATTATGCCAGCGAGTTTCTACCATGTCTAAGAACTCTTCTAAAGTAAGGGTCTTACCACAGCCTGCCATGCGTCGTTCGAACCCGGCCTTCGCTACTATCCCATCAAACCATTTGGCTGCCTTACCCTCAAGGTAAGATGCAGCAGTAATCACCTTCTCCTCCGGCAACGTTCTCTTTGCCCTTACCCACATTGGAACTGTTCTCAACCAAGTGTTGAGTTCCTCGTCCTTCTTCTCACCGGAGAAGGCAAGGGGCGGTTTCATTGGGGTCTTTGGGTACCATTGACCTTGCTGCTGTCCCTGCGGTGGAACAGTTTGTTGTGGTGATTGTGTAGCTATCACCGCTGGACCAGAAGAAGAAGAAGCAACAGTCTGTGCAGCTGCTGCAGATGTACCACTTGGCTGTGTGCCAGCTTGTACCGGAAAGGGGCCTGACATCGCCTTTAATGGCAACGGCGACTGTGCTGCTAGCCGTAATCCTGGCCTTTGCAAAAGGTCCAAGATTTGGTCCAAGGAGTTCTGCATGAAATCCAGCCTACTGTCCACATGCGCATGCAGCGACAGTACGCTGGCCTTCAACACTTTCATTTGGTCAGACATGGCTGACTCGTCCAAACCCTCTAATGCAGCTTTGTCTGCCTCTAAGGTATCAAGCCGAGCTGTTCTATTTTTGATCTCTTTTTCTCTATTGGTAGCTTGCTTCAGTTCCCTCTCTAACCGAGCGCGGATCCTTTCGACTTGTTGGAGCTCTAATAGCTCTCTGCTGCGTGGGGGCAACGGACTGAACTGCGAGCCCGCCATTTGACTTGTGGACTGACTAGAACCTACCGATCAGGAAGTACCCGTGGGCCCAGGGGGCATCCCCAACTGGGTCCCAGACGAGGATACAGCAGAGGAAGCTGCAGCAGTAGCCATTGCTGCTGCGCTGGCTGCTGCTGCCCAATCCCTAGCCACAGCGTTTGCTGCTGCCAACGCCTGACTTGCAGCTAGTGCTGTTTCCCTCGCTGCTGCGTAAGCACGGGCTCTAACTTCGGCACAAAGCCGTGTTTCGTCCCCCGGCCGTAGGGCCTGAAACATGTGCGGGACCCTAAGTGATCTCGAACGTGTCAGCCTCGCATCGTCAACTCTACCCTCATCGGTGTCTGACCCACTCATCAGCTAGGCAAACACTATCTGCACTACAACTCCCTGTTGGAGTCCTACCACAGCATGTGTCTGACCGGCACCTAATTTTCTAAAAATAAATGTGTCCGGCAGGTCCCCTGCTCAACCGATCAAGTGGCAGCCTACAACATTCACAAAGACTGTAAACATAATTTAGTTATATCAAGATTAGTTCACTTACAGAAGCTTTGCATAGAACTGGCTATGGTAGTATACGAGTCATAAACTAAGCTGTCTGTGAGGTGTTTAGCAGTCTGTCAACCAACTAATCAACAATAAAACTAAATTATGTTGCAGATGTATGAACAGTGGATATGGTTGTGTTTACAGTTGAGCACCAATTGGAACCTACCCTCCCCTCAATCCAACATACCAATGAGCATCATTGAGCAGCAGTGTCATAGGTGTGCAATGTCGGTCCACCCCTGTGGCCCAGGTGCATGCTTATGACCCGGCTTGCCCTTTCTTTATCCTCGCGTGCAACGAGCCGTACGTCCGACTGATCTGGCTGATCAAGAGGCCTATTTAAGGACTGCCCCCAAGGTCGCTCAAGAATTATTTAACGTCACAATCAGGACGACGATCACAGCCAGTGGACAGATCGGATCCCCATCCAGAAATGTTTATAGACGGTCTGGGAGCGTTTGCATAAGCGTGTTCAGTTTGCACACCCCTCTATCAGCGCAGCAAAAGAGCCCCAATGGACAAGGCAGCCATCACATGCGTGTACTAGTCCCATTGGGTTGGCATGGTGACCGTGACCCACGTGCTTCGACCAGGGCCCTTCAGAGGCACCGCCCTTTCTCCTTCCAGATGCTCCACCGGGAAGATTGTCGTCTCTCAAGGTAGAGCGCTCACGACACCTCACCAAAAGAGAGGACTCTCAAGTTGGACTTGCTTCCTCGTGGTAAGAAGAGATTGAGAGGGTAGATAAGGTAAGGGATCAACGTACCTGTAGATAGCTGCCCCCAACCACAGATTTCTCACCAATTGAGCTGAGTGTGCATTTGATGACTGGTCGTAGCGTCGGTACCACCCACAACGCAATACCTCAGCCAAATGCCACATCAGCATGCTGTCATTACCAATCATACATTCCGCCGTTGCCACGGCATCCCAAGCCGGATAGCCTTCCCGCGCACACCTCTCTACCCAGGTCGTGCGCCTAGTTTCGGCCTGACGTCACAAGAACCAACTGCGAAGAACCATCGTCAACACACCAAGTCTGTATAACGCCAGCGCACCAAGGTAAGCGGCGAATCGAACCAGCTCCGATACCAATTTGCAAGGAACATGAATGTGGACGAAGCAAAGACATCCCAATTGCAAATCACACTGAAGTCCAGGTAGTCAAAGCAAGAGCAGATATCACATTGGAACCAAGCAGTCATCCATTTGAGAACGATACAGCAGAAGTTGTGAGTCAATGTCCAAGCCCAATCGGGCAACACCAACAACATAACCCGAAGTAGCCTTCTCTCTGAAATGGCGCCAGGCGCCCTATCTACTCTACAGCCTATCCTACAACTACAGTCATGAAAGCAACCAGACTATTTGACGATTAGCTAGTGATGACGTCAACACCAATGTCGACCTCCTCTTCCACCAGGTACGTTACTCTCTCTTGTCCCTCACTCCCCCTTGTTATCCCACACAGCACCCTTCACCTCCCGAAGAACCACCTTCGCCCTCACCTCCTCCAGCGCCCTCATGCAGCCTGGCCATGGCGGCCAGCGCCCTGCGCCCAGGCTGCGCTCTACCGCTTAGCGCCAGCCTGGCTTCCTAGCGCTGCCTCTGCTCCAGCACGTGCATTAGCGCAGCAGCGTGCCGGCATTGCGTGCAAACACCAAGATCCCTCCCCAGTCGCATGCTCTGCCTATATGCCAAGCTGCGTGAGGGCAGCCCCGTTTGAGCCTGTGCCTGGGCCCCCCCGTATCTACGCCCAGGCCCAATGCAGATAAGGGCTCAGGCTGTACGGTCTTCGTCCAGATTCAGATAGTGGGGCGGTTTCCCATTGGCATTTTCGGCCTCTATGTCCAACATGCAAATGTCGGCCTCACGTTTATGCGCCCAGGGCCTAACCAATTCTGGGGCCCTGGTCCTTCTGCATTTGCAGGGATCTGGTACTCGGTGCACTCCAACCAACTGGCGTGCGGCAACTGTCTGGACCCCACTTCGTGAAATGTTGAATAAACAGGCCTCTCGTTGATTTGCTGGCCCGCCTTCACTTAGGGCGGGCACTAGGCTTGCCGGGGGCCTTAGCCCAGAACATGTACATCACGGCAAGGCCCCTTTGAGGGCTCAATCCACACACTTGCGGTTCATTGCAGAATAAAATAATTCTGAATTACCTGGGAGGTATAACGTCCTTCTACCGAACACAACACCTGGTCATTTTGACTGCATCTAGCCAGGAACGCTGCTCCTGTATATAGGCATTGTGAATGAGGAAAATAAGGCGGAGGGCGGAGAAGGAGGAGGAAGGAAAGGCAGTGGATAGGGCTTATGTCCTTTGGACTAGGTAAGTAAGAACAAGCTCCAATACAGCACACGGTTGTGTTTGGCCATGATAGAGACTATTACTCTCTGTATACATCCATGATAAGGAGTTATGGGTCCCACAGAAACACATCCGACCGTATTTTACCAAACATAACTCCCATTTATCATGGCTGAATTTGACCAGGATAGAGCCTGTATGCATTCATGATGATAGGGGTTTATGTTTTAGGCGAAAAAGGTAGCCTTTGGATGGATGGGTGCAAGTGAAATAGAGAGGCGGATGTGAACTAGGTTTGGCGTCTTCGTAAATAACAGCCATCAGGGTTAATGGTCAGTTATTGATTAGCCATACGAGAGAGGACACTGCGTTTTTTCCCTTCTTTTTTTTGAAAAGACATCAGAGAGGTCAGGCCTTCATTAGGCTACCGTCTTCGCCCGAATAGGGCAATCGGTCATTATGGGTGTATCTAGACAGAAAGTTGCACCAAATGCAGTCACAATGACCGTACATTCTATTTGGGGGAAGACGGTAGTGATAAGAGCCCAGGCGCAATGGAGGTACGGTCTGCTTTGATCGCTTCATTTTATTCTTGGGGAGCGTCACGTGCTAGGAACTGGGCGCAGCAGTGCTTTTAGGAATTGGGCCCAACAGTGCTTTTAGGAACTGGGCCCAACTGTGCGTTTATGAACTGGGCCCAACAGTACTTTTAGGAACTGGGCGCAACAGTGCTCTTAGGAACTGGGCCCAACTGTGCTTTTGTGGCTCGCAGATGTGGAAGTGGAGGCATATGTAGGGTACGTCCTCTGGAGTATAGCATATCTCTCTTCGACAAACAAATTATGGCTGATGTGGCATGAAAAAATGCTGACGTGGCATGCAAAGATACTGATGTGGCATGCCAAAAATGCTGACATGGCATGCAAAAATGCTGATGTTGGATACCGTCTGATTTGTTCAACTGGTCACAGGTTCATTGCTTGATGTGCAGCATGATATGGAGGCACTGGGGCGGTATGATGCTCAGTATTGGAAAGACCTGTTTGATTCGCGCGTTGGAAAGAGCCACTGGCCGTATGGTTCAGGTGTATGGAGCAAGAAGGAATGGGTCTTGCCGGTATGTATGAAACACACACACACACACACGCACACACTTTTTATCTATCCGTCCCGTTATTCTACTTTCTCCCCCGTGTCTCTGTTGCCTTTGTTATTGTCCGTGTTCTCGTCTTTTTCTTGTCTTGCCTTCATTTCCGTCTGTGTCCTTTTCTCGTCTCGCCTTGTCTTTTCCTGTCTGCTTGTCCGCTTGCGGTCTCTGTTTGGATCCTGAAATCAGTCTTGCAAATTCACACTCAAACATGCATGCAACAGATGAGAATAACTTGGCGCTGTGCACCCAACTCAAACTCGGAGATATGGTAGCTTGCAACTCAACTCAAATCCAAGTTTACTTCAGTTGACTATGGCGCTGGGCGCCCACACTTACACGTTCGACTCAGAGTTCACACGCAACTCGACTCCGGATCACCCTGGATACCATGCACGCCAACCACTGCACACACACATACACACTCACTGTCTATGGCTATGGCGCATGGCCACTAACAGCTAACTAGCCTATCACTAACTTCTGCCCACTTCGTCTTCAGGCCATCTGCAGACCTCCCTTGCACAAGACGCCCGAGCAGCGCTTCCGCAG